TTCTTACAGCTGGTTGAAGTGTCTTGGCAAACCCCAGACCTTCAAGCTACGGTGCTTGCGATGTTGAGAAGACCGCGTCGTCCCCCCCTTATATAAATCATCTCATAATCATCATCACTAGACGTGGCACCGCGGGCCTCCATGGTACGGGCTGTCGCCTTTCCGCGGTGCCACGGCTCTCCTGAGCCAATAAAGATTACGATTACGGTTATTACGGTTCCCCAGTCGTGGTTCTTGGAATGCATGATATTCCTTGTTCAGAATCTCAAGCAGGCATGTTATGTCCAGTGGGGCCTAGCCAACACCACCAAGAATAATCAAAGCCTGTGCCCCAAAAATCTTGACGTCATCAGAGTGAGATGGAGCGAAGATCGGAGACGAGTGCTGGCGTCAGGGCTCGGCTGGGCCTCGTGTGGAATCAGGGCATCGAAAGACGCTCGGCATCGGGCTCGGGTCCAAATTGCTGAGTTGGCGCCATGTGACTGTAATGACGTTCCATGGAGGAAAAGTGGGGCGTTCGGAGGCTTTCAATACGCTAGATGGTGTCGGCTCAGCGTTCGCCAAAAACGGCGTTCGACCAACTGAGTGGTGCACCCATGGCGACCGCCAGTGTTGCTGGATGGACTTTTGAAAGGGGTCTATTGTAGCAGCCACTTTTATTTTTTAATTACCTCAAATATATTAATAAATGTTTTAGCTACTTTGATTATGGAAATTAGGGTGCGAGATGGAGTTTATAACGGTTCTTCTCCAATCGAGAGCGAAAGACGAACTGTTATCTGCCCCACCTCGTTGTCTTAGGAATGTAATCGCAACGACCTCGACACAGCGGGGGAAGCTTTGGCGCGAATCTTTGCGGTTTTTATGCGTAATTCGCCGCAGTGAATGACAGATTGAGAGACGCATATCTCGGGACACGGGCAGGCTTTTAAAATATTAAAAAATGAAACCGACTTAAATTACGACGGCCCTGAAGTTACCAACGTAAACACAACCTATAGTTACTGTAGCTAAAAAGTGTATTTACGAATTTTAGTTCATCGGGAAATTGCCAGCTACTATATTATCCTTGCACTTCTTGTCCACCTGGGAGCATAACCTGAAGTGCAAGAACGTATTTCGCATAAATTTTATAGTTTCTTACTTTAATCTGTAAAACCTAATTTTGGACAGCGTGTCCTGAACAAAATGTTCCTGGGATATTTCTTTTTATCACCTCAAAAATAAACTATATAATGCCGAACCTCATTCTCCGCACAAATGTAGCCCTCGCGGTTCGAACCGAATGCCAAAGTTTTAGAACTAAGCAATATTTGGTTAAAAAGTTATTAGGTAATCTTCCGAAACTTTCGAAGAGAAAATGGGGCACGCTCCCGGTAGCTGACGACATTCATCTCCAGGTATTCGATGGTTCCGTCAGCTCCCATTTTCCCATTGAAAAATGTCAGAAAATCACGTGTCACTTTTAAATAGAAATACGGTTAGTTCTAAGACCTTGGCGTCTGGTTGCAACCGCTAGGGATACATTTGGGCGGAGAATGAACGTTCGGCAGCGCGTATTTAATCCCCCCTCCCCCAAAACCATTTTATATTATTATTATTTTTAGGGGGGGGAGAAGGAATGTTGTGTATCTGGAACAGGGAAGGACAAATTGTCTTCCCAGTTCAAAACAATATCGAATGAATCAGATTTAAATGAGGAGACAGCCGTGTATGCCAAGGATTGACCATTCGTTGCAGACACTTTATTGGTGCTGTTGACTGACGCCGGCATCGTACGTGCTTGCACCAGCAGAGGAAGTTGAAATATCCTCACTCTGGGTTGTGAAAGCATTCCACCAGGCGGTGATACCCCAAAACTTGTCGCCTCGAATAGGTATTGTGGCATCCTTACTGAAGCTGTCAGTAAATGCAAAAAAGGTCACATTATACTCTGTTTCACTTTAAAGGGGTCATGAAACGATATCAGGTTGGAATGTTCATGGCTTTACAGAGGCGTACTAGTCCTAGTCTGGCCCAAGTATACTCGCACGGACCGCCACTAATTCAGAAGCTTCTTGGTCGCGTTGAAATTGCGAGGATAAAAAGGGACTATTTCTATCAGCCTCACCTTTGCAAAGCTTTATGACGTAATTGTGGGATCGAAACCAACCACCTGACGCTAATCGAGCGCAGCTCACGGATTCGACACGAGAACTGCGTGAGCACTCGACTTCGGCTAGTAACAATCAATGCCTCGGCAGACACTCGTGTACTGCCCCTGTTCAAACACTGCGCTGATGAGAATAGTCGAGCTCTAACAATGCCTGCAGCTCAGCACGCGTTTTCTACTTTGCCGACTCCAGCGCGTGATTAACGTTGGCGTCATAGTACAGGCACCAGACCATGTGGTCGCTTCTTCTGGCTTCGAGTTGAGGGGATGAACGATGCTCAGTCCCTTCAAGTCCGACTGCAGTCAACTCTGTGGCCCGATAGAACCAATCGCACCGAAAGTGTAACGTCATGGTACTCGTCGTCTTTGTCCGTTGGCTAAAACGAGGTAGAGGGCTATAGAGCGATAAACTGGCAGCTGAAAGTGACCCCCAATTGGCCACCGCCATGTTTTGACTACTAGACACGTGACCTTATAATTTTAGGTCTAGATTTTTCCGAAGTACCGCGCACAAATAATTGCATTTTGATCTTTAGTAACAGTACCGACGAGATAAGTCATGTAACGTTCAGTTTGTTTTAAGCCCAAAAAGTGCTTTTACGACGAAAACTCGGGCAGCTTCGCAATGCCTCCGTTAGATGCCGTCAGCCGCAGTGCTGTATTTGGGGTTTTTATTGGTGCTGAAAACTGATCTCTGTGGCTAACAGTATTGAAAAAAAAATAGTTTATCATGTTTCTTACAGCGATCGCGATACAAGTCTCGGTTCAGTTTTGCGTAAACGTCTCAGGATTTGGTACGGTCTGGTATCTAGTGGTCAAAATTGTACAACATGGCTGCCGTCAAGTGAGGGTCACTTTTGCCTCGTGAACCAGTTTATGGCTCTAAGCCCCTCTACTTCGTTGGTTGGCTATCACCAGCTCAAGATGCTCAATATTCGCTGCGCGTGATTGGCTTAGTCGCTGACGCCAATGCAGCGTTGAGACGATGCACTTCTGGGCCTGCTTGATTGGCTTCATCGGGTCCAAGAGGGACAAATCTTCGGACACAGCTAGGTGACTGGTGCGCGACCAAAAAAATCCGCCTGGTCCGGGTAGCGACCCCGGAACCTCTCCATTACAGGTGGAGCGCTCTACCAACTGAGCTAACCAGGGGTTAGACGTCAGTAGAGCAAACGGGTTTTATCAGCTGCCACCAGTCTAACACCAACAAGGGTGAAGTTTGCAATTTAAGGTTCACCATTGTTGGCGTTAGTCTGGTGGCAGCTGATAAAACCCGTTTGCCCTGCTGACGTCTAACCCCTGGTTCGGTTCGGTTCGGTTCGGTTAGGTTAGGTTAGGTTAGGTTAGGTTAGGTTAGGTTAGGTTAGGTTAGGTTAGGTTAGTTACTGGTCAGTTGCTAACCCCTGGTTAGCTCAGTTCGTAGAGCGCTCCACTTGTAATGGAGAGGTCCCGTGTTCGATACCCGGACCAGGCGGATTTTTTGGGTCGCGCACCAGTCACCTAGTTGTATTTGGAGATTTGTATTTGTCCTTTGCCACTCTTGTTCCCCTTCTCCAGGGATTATTTTCGTCGATTGAATGGAAAGCGCCGAATGAACAAGGACGAAGAAGGGGACAGAGACGAAGCGCACTCACAACTGAAGGTTTATTGAAAACAACATTGACTATTAATACCGTCTATCAGGGTGTTGGCTCAAAAAGAAAAACTCTTTATCAGTTAAGTGCAGTGACGGCGCACTAATACACAGACTCGCCCCTTGCTCTCTTATGCGGAATGCCTCGTGTATTTCTCGCGCTGTTTTGTTTTCCTATCTGCCCAGAACAATTGTTTTTTCCAATTCCGGGCCACATGGGCACCTATCACAATGCACCGCAAGATTGCCCGACGGGGACTGTTTCACTGACCAGGCATGTTCTCTGGCCCTTTCATTTATACAACGCCCCGTTTGGCCGACATACGATTTCCCGCAACTCAATGGTATGTTATACACCACTGACGTTGCACACTCCACGTATTAATTAGCGTCATTCTTGTCCAGCTCGTTTGCACCTTTTGCATTTAATGACATTAAAATTCATCGGGTCGTCGGCTGCACTTGGTGTGAAGCGAAAAGAAGGAAGTCGGATCTCTATTTTTTCGCAGGCTAATAAGAGTACAGTCGTTTCTAGTATGATTTATCAACCATTTAATTTTTTTAAAGATGCGCCGATATATGTAAATACCTCGTGCTTATCCTGACATCTGGGAAAAAGAGCGCCATTATTTACGTAACCTTCGTTCCAAATTGTATCCCATATTGGCAACGACGTCTGTACACCCTCAAAGCAACTAGATATCCACGACAAGCTCATTTGGATGGTTAGAGCTAAACATGAGCGATATTTCTACGTCTCTGCGACCTAGTGCTGCCACTTCACACGAGCGATATGCTTATCGATCGCGATTCATTTCGCTTATTACCCACATTGTATTCCGCGACCCGCTATGTCCTTCCGACTAAACCGCGAGAGCCCATCACATCATTGCATATACCTGCAGCTCTCGTTAATAATAGTATCAAATTTGAAATGCTGTGAGACTTAAACGAACATAAAAAAAAAAAACTAGGAGAGATTCAACGGCTGTTAATGCTTACCTTGGATCATATTAGCGTTTGTGGGACTTGGTTCTGTGGAATTGGACGTCTCCTCCGTGACATCAGGGTGTTGCGGTCAATTTATAGTGATAGAAGCAAACTCATGGTACGCTTTGACATACCGCTTCAGTGCGTTCAAAAGTGTGCCGATAAATGGTCCGTAGCTCGAGTGGATGCAAAAAAAGAACACGACATTTTATTGAAACCAATGAACGTTGATGGAAAAACATATTTACAGGCGCCCTTTTGCACAGGCGAGACTTCACCATCCAGGATCTGAAAAAAAAAAAAAAAAGTGGCTTTAGATAGGGAGGGAGAAGAGCAGACATGACAACTGCAAGAACTATTGTTTGTAATGGAGACCACCAGGTCGCATTAAAATAATAGCTATTGGCTGCAACCGCCACTCGCACGACTTTGATTTCGACAGGGTAATCCTACGCCCGTATTAGAGGTGAAGAAACCGGTTTTGTTTATTATACGATAAAGAAAGTATATAAAAATGATCGAGACATTGGCCTAGGTCTGCCACTACAGCGCCATCTACTCCTTGTCGCTTTATCTTCTACTAACTGTGCAGAAAAATTACTTGCCTGTCTTTCCTCTTTGTGTGCAAGAGACCAATGTAAGTGATACAAATAATATAACTTCATCTCTTAAAAAACAAAAAAAAAATGTCGGACATTTCTGCTTTGTTATTTTTGTTCTTTACTTGCGCTTGGCAATAAGTGTTTTCGACTCTTGCATTCTTTGAATGGGGCAATCCATATAAATAAATGTCGCGTAATAAACATAAATTCAGTGTACATGCGGATAAGTGTGTCCATAATTAAGTTTAGTTCTATGAGGGGTGGCTTCTACTGGAGTGTAATGTACTGGAAACCAACATGCGGTATCACCGCGCTGTCCTCCAGGCTTACTGACGCAGCTATTGGCGACGTGCGCGACCTAAAGCGTCGCTGTGGTCGGCCTTCCACGATTGGCCGAACGCTGGCTATGACGTCAGCAAAGGATTTATCATCGACGGAAATAAGAGGAATGAAAGAACTTTTTACGGTGTTGGCAGTGTTCCTTTGAGAGCGCAATGATTTCAAGCTTCCACCATACTATTTACAAACACCATCGAACTTGTTGTTTGCAAGGTAATGACGTCACAAGGGGGAACCGTAGGAAGGCGCCACCAAAACATCTCGCCGCTAATTGATTAGCGGCGAGAAGTTTTAGTGACGCCCTCATATGGTTACCTTTCGTGACGTCATTACCTTGCGAACAACAAGTTCGATGGTGTTTGTAAATAGCATGATGGAAGCTTGAAATCATTGCGCTCTCAAAGGAACACTGCCAACACCGTTGAAATTAAAGTTCTTCCATTCTTCTTATATCTGTCGATAAGAAATCCTTTGCTGACGTCATAGTCAGCATTCGGCCAATCCTGGAAGGCCGACCACAGCGACGCTTTCGATCGCGCACGTCGCCAATAGCATCTGACAAAAGTCGCGTGTTTCACTCGCTATCCAATTGACAGCGTAATAATAGTGCGGCTTAAGGGAACGATATAAGGGTTGTGATGGATGAAAGCTTGAGAATCAGTATCAGAGAATATGTACGGTAAGCTCGAAGCATCCATTTCAACACCCTCGCATCCCCCATGAGAGAAATGCGAGACAGGAGAAGGTCTCTGACCCTGACCGGCATTAAAACGGCAATTTATGCCAATTCATGATCACCTAAAAAGCGCCTAAAAATACACAAGGAGAAGAAAGTGGACGAAATACAAGGCGCACTCACAACGAACATTTATTGAAAAACCAGTCGCTTATTATATTTGCTCGAGAATAATAGCTGCGCTGTTTGTGAACAAAGCCTGTGGGTCTGCTTTCCCGCGGAACACGAGGCTAGCGAATCAGCGCGATCGGCAGAAAAATGGCAGCAATTTACGGGACACAGATAACGTCTTCACGCAAAAATGCTATCTGCTCAGATGGCATTTTCACGAAGACTCGCGTTCTCGACCCTGTTCTTCGCTACGTTTTATTTCCGTGCAGAACCTGATGATTGGCTGTATGTGTGTTCTGCAGGAAAGTGGACACAAGGGCCTTGTTCATAAGAACTGCGGCTATTTCTCGAGTAAATACTATATAGCCGGGGCAAAATGCTAAGTCTGAGAGAATGCGAAGTCACAGCTATTATCAGTATTTTGCGCATGTTTTTTTTTTCTTGTTTTCTTTGCGCGAGCTTAACCAGCAATGAATTGACACCATCAAACGTCTTGTAACCCATCAGGAACAAGCTGTACTGCTTCCATTTAGCCCTACAACAACTGACGTCACGTTTTGAGTGTTGCCGGTAGAGCCTCTTCTCCCGGAGCAAACTTAAAATTTCAATAACTTAGCGGAAAAAAACAACAAAAAACAACAACATTATAGTGACTTGCAAGTTGGGTAACTAGTCCAGAAGTGTTCATTAATGCGACGAATGAGTTCTGTAGAAACGATAGGCGTGGCCTATTATGTTAATTCACGCTTCTTGCTTTGTAAGTGGTTCTTCGACCTTCTTAGCGGCCAATGCCGCATTCTGATTGGCTGCGGTGAGTTAATGAGATGCTCGGAACTCGCAAGGCCCCGAGTTCCTTCAACTTCTTCGCTGACGTGAACCCAGCTACGAACACCTGACGATAATTGTGAACTTCTCAAAGGTCTAGACAAAATCGTGACCAGCCTGATGTTCACTATAGTTTGTTCCAACAACAGGAGAGGCTCTACCCCCGAACTTCAAGAGAGAAATCGCATCACGCCACTCACACTTAAAAGAAATACCTGCCCGTCCACTTACCCGCAAAACACTCAAAGAGCCAATCATTGCGATCTAGGAAATCAGCTCAGCGAATGATGAGACGGAACATCCGTTTAGACCTAAAAAATGGAAACTGCGCTGTGGCATTACGCAATGCAAAGTGTGCTTTGCATTGCACTGTTTCATTACGCAATGCAAAGCGTGCTTTGCATTAAGTAATGCCACAGCGCAGTTTTCATTTTTTAGGTCTAAATGAATGTTCCGTCTCATCATTCGCTGAGCTGATTTCCTAGATAGCAATGATTGGTTCTTTGGGTGTTTTGCGGGTAAGTGGACGGGCAGGCATTTCTTAGAATGCAGGACGAACGCATCAATTTTCTGGCGCCACGGAAAACAGGATGATACGACGGCGATCTTTCTTTCTTTCTTTTATGCTAGCGTTTGCAAAAATAAAGCTGCGTCTAATGCCTTATCCGACTGGGCTCACTACGTGCTTAGTAAAGCGTTCATGCGTGTGTGTGAGTGTACATTTCTTTTTACCCCATCTTGTTTTTAGGTTATATAAAAAAAAAAAAAAAACCACTACACTTCGTTTAGAAAGAACACTGAAGACACCGATGACCAAGGCTTCGTTCCTTCGCGTATCAATTATTAACTGGAACAACGCGCAATCATCAAAAAAGAAAGACGGGACGAACAAACTGTGCTCTTTTCCCCTAGCCCTGAGGAGCGATCGTGTTCTACATACAATTTCCGATGGCCGTTTTTGTCATTGCTCATTCCTTCTTCATTTTAGCCTGGAATTCTCGACAGATCATCAGATGAACATACAAAATTTAGAATTCCGAAGCTGATTTGAACTTTAAACGCCAACTGTGCTCTCCTGCCATCGACATGCGTCCGTGCCTATACGGGGTGTTTGATTTTGATTCGAACAGATTTATTAAAACAATGCCGTGAGATGCATGTACACAAATGCTGTCTGTGCAGGTGAGTTAAACGGCCAGAGGGACATAATATGGGCGGGGGGGATAATGGTCCCGATAAATAGAACAATCAACTAAAAGTGTCTAAATATGTCTGCAATGAGTTGAAGTAGAAACTAGCTGAGCGTCATCTTCAATCACTAAATTAGTCCATTTTAGAAAGATTTTAAGCACATGTTAAGGGCGAGCGGGAGGGTGGGCTAAAGATTCCAGCTCGTGCAAAAGGAGCAACGCTGGCGGTCAGGCACCACGCCTTTATCTGTGAACCCTCCGCAGAGAACCCGCAAAAAAAAAAAAAACGCAGATTTTTTTTTTTTTTTTTGGGGGGGGAGGGGGGGGGGAGCGTTTTGCACCGCCAGTATTGCGCCTGTTGCACGAGTGCTAATTTTAGGGCACTCCCACACATCCCACGTGATTCCAAGTCTTTCATAAAGTATCTGATATTTTTGATGACGCTGAGCAAGTTTCATATTGTGGGAATGCTATGCTCATTTTAACTAATTAAACAGTTAAATAACACATTTTAGTTAATTATTCAACTTATCATGAGGATTATTTCCTTATATTATAGCCCCCTGGCCGCATAACTCACTTGCCTGAACCCATTAAGCTACCTTTCACTTTTTTTTTATATATAAATGTGTTATTATTAAAATCATATTCTGTTTTTGGTCTGAGACCCCGTTGACAGCCTTCAAGAAGAAGCACGAGGCGCCGACTTACGCTCAGAAACAGCCGGGGTGCACTGGGAGAACCAGCCTCTCAGTGCCATCCGTGACCCAGGCTCACGGGCAGGCCCACGGGAATCCCGTAGGGACTTGCCGACAACCTGTACGTCTTGACGCCGTGTCCCAGCCCCAGACCACCTCCGAACCCATGGCCCAGTCCACCCCCGAATCCTCCACCGTGACCGCCCGACAGGAGGAAGCTTCCTCCGCCGCCACCACCCCCACCACCGTGGCCCAGCAGCAGGCCACCACCAAAGACGTGCGCCACCGGAAGAGCGTAACTGCGGCCGCCGCCGCCGCCGCCGCCGCCGCCGCCGTGAAGACCGTACGAGCCACTGAAGCCGAGCAGCTGCTCGAACACGTTGCCGGCGTAGCCCAGGTAGTGGGCACCGTGGCCCGCTCCTCCGACGGATTTGGTCGCCACCAGGACTGGCGTCGCCTTGGTGATGACGGGCGTGGCGATGGCAACCGCGTGGCCGCCGCCTCCGCCGGCGCTAGCGACGCTGAAGAGGCACAGGACGCCGAGGAGCGTCGAGATCTGTCGAAGAACGCAAAAGTGCGGTAGAGCCTTTATACGCATTCTACCAATGCAAAATTTAAAAACAGAAGAAAAAAGACGCATGGTTTTTTTGTTTTGTTTTTTAGCAACACCCTTTTTTTTTACTAGAGAGACTATTGACAAAAACGAGGCTTCCAACGTCTAGCAGTTTCGTCACAAGGATGGGACCCAGCAAGAAAATCAGCCTATCATTAATGGTCTTATGGTTTCTTCTCATTTACGAAACGTGAAACTCTTAACAATATAATGTCAATAATGACCGACGAAAGACGTGAAAATGAACGTGAGTGTATTTCACCAACAGAAAACGACGTTTGTCACGAACGACGGTTGGGCGTCAATGCTTAAACTCAGCCCGATGAGGCCGTCCGTGATTCGCGTTAACGTCCGAGCCGCAACGCAACCGGTCCGTCGCTTGACTATCGTTTCCTCATCGCCGAGCCAGCGCAGAATGGCTATCTGTAGCCACGGAAGAAACAATCCTTAGCTTTGACCGTGAATAGGGTCACAAAATAATAACGGATATCAAAGGAGGGGACCGAGAAGATTAACACCCTAAAAATATAATGCAGACTCGTCTACAGAACATGGCCATTGTCTCGGTCATCCTTTAAAGATTGTTCTCTGTGGCGCGCAGTATAGATAACACGAAGGCCCGCTGGAGATTGTTGGTCACGCTACTCGGTGGAGCAAACAGGACTGGCTGGCCGTCACGTATACGTACCAAGATGGCGGGCTACCTTCTGCTTTAATTTGTCTCACCCTCCCTACGACGTTCTGGGGAGTTTGAGCAAGTAGTTTCACCGGCGGACTCGCGTTCCAGACTTTGATGGGACAGCGTGAGCTCGCGCCGCGCGATATGAATATCGAGGCGCGAAAACGCGATCTGCTCAAACTCCCAATGTGCTCCAGCTTCTCAATGCTTCGCAGTGACCCCCGGTCAACTTTCTGTGGCTATGCTGTCAAAGCTATGGGCGCCCGTGCGCTCAAGCATCTTGAGCGCCCATCAACGCTGTGCAAGCCCACTCTTTATTTCTTCTGAAACGACCCAGAAAGTTGTCCGCGAGCATTGTGGCATATACACTGTCAAGACATAAGAATATTTACTCCATTATAGATCTTCGGACACGAAGCGATAGCGGCCATTTCCGCCCGTCGTATTTGAATATTGTAACTGTCCAGCCGAAAGTTACGAGAGACGATGATCGCCTCGGCAATAAATACGTGCGAGCAGCTCAAACGCTTTCCGCTCTCTCAATGTCCAGAGCAGGTTTTTTTAAGAACTGGCTTAGCGAGACTCGACGTGCACGAAAGCAGGGCTCTTGATATGCAGTTCTCTGGTTCGACAACGACGGCAGAACGCTATCCTGCGCCTTGCTGCGCTGACCCATCATGTCACGTCGTATCGAACACGGCGAGGAAGTTAGGACAGCGACTAATGGATAATGTATACTCGTGTTCTGCTGTCTCAAAGAGAAACCCGCGCCTGTCACGTGGTGCCTAAACTGACTGTCACGGTGCTTTAAAACGTTCGCTATGGGAACGTGAGGTTCTTCTGACCATCCTTGTCAGAGTTGAACAAACCTTCTGTTGAGGTTGGTTAAGGAAGTGGAAGCAGATGCCAACTTTATTATTTATTGTATGGAAGAAATTTGGAGCCCTATTTTTTTAGCCGCTCAGGGGAAAAAATTAATGACGGACGATGACAGCACAAGCCAAATCACGTACACATAAATAAACGTTTAAGAAATAGGCAAAGATCTTACACCCGTTTATCAGAACCGGAGTTTCGCCTAAGAGTTTCCTCCAGGAGTGTAGGAATGAAGCAGACGGGAATTGGGAGTTTATTTATTAATTTATTCAATTTCCCTTAAAGGCCTTCAGGAGGGCATTGCATTAGGGGGGGCCTTATGGTGGGGTTATACAGTCAAGAAAGCAATGTCGATGTGAGTAGAAATACATATAGTCAATTCTGCGTAATGACAATCAGACAAAGCAGTTACAAGGAAAACATTAGAAAATAGTATACGCATTAGTGAGATTTCACCGTCTGATTCAAAAGAAAATAAGCTGCTAGTGCTGAGCGAAATGAATCGGAGTTTTCAAGTCAAACGATGGAGTGGGTTCCAGTCAACAATCGTCTGGGGAAAGTAGCGATTAAATGCACTAGTGCTACCAGATCAACGGGCGATTGTTCTGGAATTTGTGAGTCGGGCTGATCACCTGAGGGGAGGATGTAGTTGCGGAGCGTAGGACGACAGTAGTAGATTTTCTGAAAGATTGAAAGGCGAGCAATTTTGCGGCGAATTTGCGATGATTGAATATCTAGCTGGCTTTTTAGTGCGGAGACACTGGAGGTGCCGTCACAGTCGGATAGGATGAATCTCTTAGCCCGGTTCTAAACTGATTCGATAATATTAATAAGGTAGATTTGATGAGGGTTCCAGACTGATGCCGCATACTCCAGTTTAGAACTTACATAAGTGTTATGTGCCAGTCTATGTATCCGAGAGTTCGGAGGCTTCGGTTGTGATAATTTCTATGTGATTTGACCAGGTAAGGGTTTTTGTTAATGTCACACCAAGGTACCTATAAGAATCCTCTAATTTAATCAGATAACTTTTTAATGAGTACGGAAAAAGGAATGTTGAGCGCTCACAAGTAAAGCTAATTAATTTACATTTTGATTTCTAATGTATGATGGTAATTTTGATTAACAGTTTTACGGTAGAGTACAGTCGTCTGCAAGGAGTCGTAAGCTAGAAGAAATAGAAACCGGAAGGTCATTATGAAAATTTAAAGTAAATGTCCAAGCACCGATCCCTGGAGAACTCCTGAGGTCACTGGTTTAGTGTTAGACACATGGTTGTTAACGGCTGTGATATGTAAGCGAGAAGAAAGGAATTCCCGAACCCATGACTGAATTCAAGAGGTTGAGTATCACAGGAATACCCTTTCCGAAATTCATATTGATGGCTATACAAGAAATTGTTACCTTTCAGATGTGACATGATGTGCGAGATATATAGGACGTGCTCGAGAAGTTTAGATGCGATGCAGGTTAGTGATATTGGGCGATCATTTGAAACTGATTAATGATTTCCGGCTTTGAAACCCTGAACGACCCTTCCCAGTTTCCAATCAACGGGAACAGATGATTGAGACAGTGATTATGTATATATTAAATGTAACTAAGTGCTTGAAATTGTTTTTGTTCTTGCGAGGATTTTTGAGCAAATAATATCTAGCCCACAGGAAGAATTAAGTAGGCTTAAGTCGTTCAATTAGTTTTACTATTAAAGCAGGGGAAATCTCAATCGGTGCCATGAGATCAATTTAAAAATTACATAATGAATTAAGATTTTTTTTGTGTGTGTTTCAACAGTAAAAACAAATGCAAAATATTCATTCAGTACACGTGGATACTCAATTCCAGATACAGAGGTTCCACGTCCATCCACCAAATAATCAGAAATATTGTTGTTTGGGGAATATGATTTTCCAAAACTTCTTAGGGTTGTTTCTTAACATTGATAAAAAGTACTCAAATAAATTTGTTTCGGTTATTGCAGAAAATTGTTATAAGTTTTTTCAAGCAAACAGCATGATCATTTCATGCGGAATCAGAGTTCCTGCGTTTCACAGCTTCTTTCTATTACTCGGCATTTTAAGCAATTAATTGTACCACGGTTACTATAATCGCCCCGTATGCGTACGGACGGCACAAATCAAGATAATTTAGCTTATTTTTATACATTTTCCAAATCTCGTCAATATATCGAGAGAGAAAAAAATGCTAGCGTAGGTTTAATAAAATATGGCTAATTTTTTGTTAATAGCTGCATAATTTGCTCTCATAATCACGTATTGTTTTAGAATACGGATTTTTAGTACTGGGTGGAGAGGACAATTCGATATTTATCAAGTTGTGATTACTGAGACCTTGAGCGTATTCATCGTATCTGAGGAGTTCAGAACTAGTAGTGAGCATCAGGTCAAATATGTTTTCACCTCGAGTAGGCTTGTCAATTTCTTGCGTAAAATTGTAATTCAAACACATGTCAAGAAACTGTTTGGAGTCAGTGGAGCCGGTTGCTACTTGACCTTACCAATTAACATTTGGGAACTTAACGTCTTCAAATATAAGAACGTGAGCGTCATTACAGCGTTTCTGAATTTTGAGCAAGAGGGTTTAAAGGTCACTTGAAAATGTGGCATCAGAATTGGGAGAAAGTTCGTAGGGAACACTTGGTTATCGTTGATGTCTGATCTAAGACGCGTTTCAGGTTAGATTATGATCATTGATAAGACTATAAAGAACATTGCGCGCGAGGCTGCGTATGTTCGTGAAGGTAACGCCATGTACAATATCTGCTTTTCTTGGGAAAGTATAGCACTAGTGTGCGGACGTAGTATTAATGGCTTCCCGGGGACGAAAGGCATTTAATGGCAGCGAAATTTCAAACGCTACCTGTACTCAAATTCGGTGACATCATTAGAGTATGCCATCTTCGCACTTACGGCTCTCTTGATTTGCACACTCACGACGCATTCTAACCAGACGCCTCCTGGAACTTTTGTTCCTCCGTTTTTTGACTGAAGAGAACGTATGTTTTACGAGTACCTGCAATTGATTCTTCGATTTCACTTTAAGACCGGCCGCAGTCAACGCTACGATCCGACGGAGACTCTCTAACGGCGCGTTGACACTCTCGGATTCGCGGGCGTATATTCGCTCAGGCGGAAAATGGATTTTGGAGCCGCGAGAGCCGAACTCGACTCGTCGCTGGCGGAAAATTCGGACATGGGTTCCGGACTGATCCAGACTTTCCGCCAGCAACGAGTCCATTCCGCCACCCGCGGCTCCAAAATCCACTACTGCGGCGCGGATTTCGTCCACGAATCCGCAAGTGTCAACGCGCCATAACGGAGCCATTCATGCAGCGTCGAAAGCGCATCGTCGCGGCGCTGGTTGACTT